AACTCGCCTGATACACGAGATACATGATAAAATCATTTTAACTTATTTAACTAGAAGATGGGATAAAGAGATAGAGGAAAAGAGGTTAGTCTATTGTAATTTGGTCTCTCCAAAAAGGAACTCGCCTGATACACGAGATACATGATAAAATCATTTTAACTTATTTAACTAGAAGATGGGATAAAGAGATAGAGGAAAAAGAGGTTAGTCTATTGTAATTTGGTCTCTCCAAAAGGAACTCATATGATACACGGGATACATGAAAAAATCATTTTTAACTTATTTAACTAGAAGATGGGATAAAGAGATAGAGGAAAAGGTTGAGTCTTTTGTAATTTGGTCTCTCAAAAAAAGGAACTCTCCTGATACAAGATACATGATAAAATCATTTTAACTTATTTAACTAGAAGATGGGATAAAGAGATAGAGGTCTATTGTAATTTGGTCTCCAAAAAGGAACTCGGATACACGAGATACATGATAAAATCATTTTTCTTAATTAACTTGGGTAATTTGGTCTCTCCAAAAAGGAACTCGCCTGATACACGATACATGATAAAATCATTTTTAACTTATTTAACTAGAAGATGGGATAAAGAGATAGAGGAAAAGTTAGTCTATTGAAATTTGGTCTCTCAAAAAAGAACTCTGATAAAATCTTTTTTAACTTATTTAACTAGAAGATGGGATAAAGAGATAGAGGAAAATTTGGTCTCTCCAAAAAGGAACTTATGATACACGAGATACATGATAAAATCATTTTAACTTATTTAAATAGAAGATGGGATAAAAGGAAAAGAGTTTAGTCCCGATAATTTGGTCTCTCCAAAAAGGAATCGCATGATACAAGATACATGATAAAATCATTTTTAACTTATTTAACTAGAAGATGGGATAAAGAGATAGAGGAAAAGAGTTTAGTCTATTGTAATTTGGTCTCCCAAAAAGGAACTCGCCTGATACAAGAGATACATGATAAAATCATTTTAACTTATTTAACTAGAAGATGGGATAAAGAGATAGAGGAAAAGAGGTTAGTCTATTGTAATTTGGTCTCTCAAAAAAAGGAACTCGCCTGATACGAGATACATGATAAAATCATTTTTAACTTATTTAACTAGAAGATGGGATAAAGAGATAGAGGAAAAGAGGTTAGTCTATTGTAATTTGGTCTCTCCAAAAAGGAACTTGATACACGAGATACATGATAAAATCATTTTAACTTATTTAACTAGAAGATGGGATAAAGAGATAGAGGAAAAGAGGTTAGTCTATTGTAATTTGGTCTCTCAAAAAAGGAACTCATGATAAAATCATTTTTGATTTAACATAGAGAGAGGTTACATTTGGTCTCTGAATGAAAAATACATGATAAAATCATTTTAACTTATTTAACTAGAAGATGGGATAAAGAGATAGAGGAAAAGAGGTTAGTCTATTGTAATTTGGTCTCTCCAAAAGGAACTCGCCTGATACAAAGAGATACATGATAAAATCATTTTTAACTTATTTAACTAGAAGATGGGATAAAGAGATTGAGGAAAAAGGTTAGTCTATTGTAATTTGGTCTCTCAAAAAGGAACTCATATGATACACGAGATACATGAAAAATCATTTTTTAACTTATTTAACTAGAAGATGGGATAAAGAGATAGAGGAAAAGAGGTTAGTCTATTGTAATTTGGTCTCTCTAAAAAAGGAACTCGCCTGATACACGAGATACATGATAAAATCATTTTAACTTATTTAACTAGAAGATGGGATAAAGAGATAGAGGAAAAGAGGTTAGTCTATTGTAATTTGGTCTCTCCAAAAGGAACTCGCCTGATACACGAGATACATGATAAAATCATTTTTAACTTATTTAACTAGAAGATGGGATAAAAGAGATAGAGAAAAAAGTCTATTGTAATTTTCTCTCCAACTTATCGCCTGATACACGAGATACATGATAAAATCATTTTAACTTATTTAACTAGAAGATGGGATAAAGAGATAGAGGAAAAGAGGTTAGTCTATTGTAATTGGTGGTCTCTCCAAAAAGGAACTCGCCTGATACACAGGATACATGATAAAATCATTTTTAACTTATTTAACTAGAAGATGGGATAAAGAGATAGAGGAAAAGAGGTTAGTCTATTGTAATTTGGTCTCCAAAAAGGAACTCGCCTGATACACGAGATACATGATAAAATCATTTTTAACTTATTTAACTAGAAGATGGGATAAAGAGATAGAGGAAAAGAGGTTAGTCTATTGGTCTCTAACTCGCCTTGGTCTCTTATTTCCAAAAAAGGAACTTGGTCTCTGATACACGAGATACATGATAAAATCATTTTTAACTTATTTAACTAGAAGATGGGATAAAGAGATAAAGGAAAAGAGGTTAGTCTATTGTAATTTGGTCTCTCAAAAAAGGAACTCATATGATACACGAGATACATGATAAAATCATTTTAACTTATTTAACAAGAAGATGGGATAAAAGATAGAGGAAAAGAGGTTAGTCTATTGTAATTTGGTCTCTCCCAAAAAAGGATGATACACGAGATCATGATAAAACATTTTTAAATTTAACTAGAAGATGGGATAAATGATAGAGAAAAAAGTCTATTGTAATTTGGTCTCTTTTACACGAGAACATGATAAAATCATTTAACTAGAAGATGGGATAAAGACATAGAGGAAAGAGGGTTAGTCTATTGTAATTTGGTCTCAAAAAAGGAACTCGTATGATACACGAGATACATGATAAAATCATTTTTAACTTATTTAACAAGAAGATGGAATAAAGGATAGAGGAAAAGAGGTTAGTCTATTGTAATTTGGTCTCTCAAAAAAGAACTCGCATGATACACGAGATACATGATAAAATCATTTTTAACTTATTTAACTAGAAGATGGGATAAAGAAATAGAGGAAAAGAGGTTAGTCTATTGTAATTTGGTCTCTCCAAAAAAGGAACTCGCCTAATACACGAGATACATGATAAAATCATTTTTAACTTATTTAACTAGAAGATGGGATAAAGAGATAGAGGAAAAGAGGTTAGTCTATTGTAATTTGGTCTCTCCAAAAAAGGAACTCGCCTGATACACGAGATACATGATAAAATCATTTTAAACTTATTTTACTAGAAGATGGGATAAAGAGATAGGGGAAAAGAGGTTAGTCTATTGTAATTTAACTAATTTCTCAAAAAAATTGGATACCTTTCGTCTCTAGGAATAGATACACGGATACATGAAAATCATTTTTAACTTATTTAACTAGAAGATGGGATAAAAGAGATAGAGGAAAATACATGTTAAACATTTTTCTCTTTGTAATTTGGTCTCTCCAAAAATGAACTCAAATAATACACGAGATACATGATGATAAAATCATTTTTATGAGTGAAAATTTTGGGGTATCACGAAACGCGAGATCGCGCGTTCTACGAGTATATACGGTAGGTAGAAATTAAAAGATTTAAAATTGATATTTCCCGGAAGCAGGCGTTCAACACATGTGAGCATTATTGCTTGCTCTATCTTCTTCTTCTGTCTTTCTTTCTTTATAATTTTCTTTACTAAAACTAAACAGCGTCTCGAATATGTTTTATTCGTCTTTCCTCACAGTGAAAAGGGAAAAGTCTATAGTGGGTTATCACTTAAAGTGAAGTGTATGAGTGTTGAAACAGACTAGTTTGATTTGGCCTTGTTAGTTAGATAGCCCACCATAAGAGGGGTATAAAACAAGAAAATCAAATTGTAAAGTGAAACAACAAATTTATATACATATAAATCAATTAAGGTCTCTACAAATAAAACTAATGTATTTTCGTTGATACAAGGTCGTCAAAATGTTCGTAGTAGTTCTTGCAAGAATGTGTCTATGTGTACGTAGGCAGGAACATATGTGTGGATGTATATATGTATGTATAAGCGTTATCGTAGGGTAGGAATGTCTTTGAAGTAATCGCTCAATCTTAAAATGTTCCATTCGTTTATCAAGTATAAAAGAGGTGAGGGAGAAAGGTAGAGATAATAATAACGATCGCTTGATATTTGTCAAGGGATGTGTTAATACGCTCGTCTTCTTCTCTCTGGTGACAGGCGAACTTGCCCGTCTTTTATTTTGTTTGTGGGTCTTGAAAAGGTCATTTGGGAATTCACTCCCGGGTATGATTCAGGCCTTTCCATTGGACGACGAACAAACTTCGCGTCGGCTCACGAAAAGGTCCGTAAAAGAATTTTTTTCTGAGAATTGAAGATTATTTGAATTTTGCTTTTTAAATGTTTCTTAGTTTTCTATTGACCGAAAAACATTTCGTATCAAGGTGTGAAATTTCACGAGTTTTGTTTTGGATTCGCTTTTGCGTGTGTGTTAAGCAAAGTTTGTAAATTCGAGTCTTTTTAATTTCGAACAAAATCATGAAGTCAGAGCTTAGCATTTGAATTTTAAATCTAGATCTTGTTTTGTTCACTACAAGTCCATTATTTTGAGGTAACGTGCACGATAACTATCTAAATAAGGACAGAAGGGGCAAGCGTAATTATAATATGATAGTTCAAGTCAAATGTATATCTGTGGTGTCCTTATCAAGGAAACTGTAGTGATTGTTGTAGGCGCTGCTACGGTTCAACCGGTTTTTTCCAGATCTGTCCTCGAAATTGCGCCTTTCTCTCTTTGACCAACAATAAAAATGTTCAAACTTAATAAGTTACGAATATGTTTCTCTGTCATCAAAGGAAATTTACAGACTTTAAGAAGGAAGGATTACTACCGAACTAATTCTTGGAAAAGTTAATTAGAAGTCGAGAATTTCGAAACAAGATTTGGTTATATATTTCATTTTTTTGTTTTTGCAACAGAAATTTAATTTTCGTTAAGCAATCATTTTTTTAGTTATTGTGCCTAGACTAATATTACTAAAAATAATATGGAAAAAGCATCGTCGAAGAAAATTAATAATGCTATTAATATCAATAATGAAAAAGATTAAGAAACGAGAAAGAATGAAATCTACCATTCTTTTCTGTTCTTTCTTTCTTTCTTTCTTTCTTTCTTTCTTCTCTTCTATGTTCTTTTTCTTTCTATTTTCTTTCTTTTTTCTTTTCTTTCCTTTTTCATTCTTTCCTTCCTTTCTTTTTTTTTCCTTCCTTTCTTTTTTTTTTTCCTTTCTTTCTTTTTCGCATCTCTTCTCTTTCTTTCTTTTTTTTCTTTCTTTCTTTCTTTCTTTCTTTTTTATCATTCTTTCCTTCCTTTCTTTCTTTTTTTTGCATCTACAGTCTTTGTTCTTTCTTTCTTTCTTTCTTTCTTTTTTATCATTCTTTCCTTCCTTTCTTTCTTTTTTTGCATCTACAGTCTTTGTTCTTTCTTTCTTTCTTTCTTTCTTTCTTTCTTTCTTTCTTTCTTTCTTCTCATCTCCGTTCTTTCTTTCTTTCTTATTTTCGTTTTTTCTTTCTTTCTTCTCATCTCCATTCATTCATTTGTGGTGTTGACATAACATTGCTGGGCGGAGAACTTCCTGACCCGGGTTGGTAGATACTGTTAGGGTCCTAGTTATGGACAAATAGTTAACCCCCAAACTGGGGTCAAAACGTGTGAAAATAGGTTTTAATACCATCAAGTCATTTTTGTAAAAAATTATTACCAGCAATAATGGCTGATGACGGTTTATCGTTGTTGTTGTTGTTGATGATGATGATGATGATGATAAAATACAAAAAATAAAATTCCTTGTGATTTGGAAGTTCAGTCGTATCGACCAATCCAGACTGGATCCCGCCATTATGAGTCAAGAAAGCTGAACTGAAATTTGGATGAATATAGGGATATACTTAGCGGCCTTTTTTAATACATGAAAGTGTTATTGACTATTTGTTTGCTTCTTTGTTTGTTTTTTTGTTTGTTTGTTTGTTTCTGTCTGTCTCTCATTTTCGCACTGAAACTAACTAGCGTCTCTGATATGTCTTTTCTGTCTTTCCACGCGATCAAAACGGAATAATTCATTATTCATGAGACATTGGCAGAAGACATACAAGACTTCTATCTTCTTTCCTTCCTTCCTTCCTTTTTACTTTGATTCATTCTTTCTTTCTTTCTTTCTTTCTTTCTTTCTTTCTTTCTTTCTTTTGCTCACTGGAACAAAGTAGTGTCTCTGATATGCCTTTTCTGTCTTTCCACGCCACCCAAATGGAAGAGTCCGTTATTTACGAAGACACGAAAGACTTCAATCTCTCCCCCTTCATTCCTTTCTTTCTTGCTTTCAGTCTTTCTTTTTTCTTTCTTTCTTTTTTTTTCCTCACTGAAACCAAGTAGCGTCTCTGATATTTCTTTTCTGTCATTCCATGCGACCCATACGGAAGAGTCCGTTATTTATGAGGTATTAGCAGAACGTGACGATCGTGTGAACTAACAAAGAGAGGTACAGGCACAATTACTATCGGGTCATTTCACTCCAAGCAAAGCAATAAAGCCACTAAGACACAAGCAGTTACTGACCGTGAAAGGATAAGAAAAAGAAAACATTAGTAAGAAGCGAGAAAAATAAAAGAACAGGAATTAAGAAGACAGAAGGTAACGATTGACATTGCATTTAAATTTTTGAAGATCAAATGTTTTGGAACACAAAGTTGACAGTAGCACCCATATTTAAGGGAGCACTTTAAAGAGAACTGGTCAGGTGCTGACCTCCGACGCGACTTTACGACCACGACTGATCATGATGATGATGATGATGATGATGAAACAAAATGTATTTTAGACATAGTGGACAAAGCTTTTTTTTTCTTCTGTTATTGCATTACAAACAGTTACTTTACTCACGGCCGCCCGATTCTCCGGGTGATGGTCGGTTGATGACGGGAGGTGAAAAGGGTTCTAGGTATGACCGGTTGGCAATAATCACTGGATCCGAAAGACACAATAACGTCACCTTGCTCCCCGGGGACGACTTCCCTGCGTTTCAGAGCGAAATAGATGAAGGAACCCGACGGCAGCATAAATCTACAATTCCATCTTGACAAGTGACAGCCTGCTCACCATTTCCGGCGATGAAAAGAAAAATAATGACGACATAGAAAGACCCACGTGCACGCCAAGGCGCCATACTGATAGTTGATTGATGAATAAATCGATCGAATGAATTTTAAGCATTTCTGGCACACCATGAAAAATCGATGACAAAATGGTGACAGAGTAGAACATCCGGAATGATGATGAGTTTGCCGTTTGGAGACTTGATTTAGGGAAGAGTGAATAACGTGCCAAAATAGCGGCTTTCTTTAACACATGAAAGTGTGAGTGGCTCTTTCTTCGATTCTTTCTTTCTTTCTTTCTTTCTTTCTTTTGCTCACTGAAACCAAGTAGCGTCTCTGATATGACTTTTCTGTCTTTCCACATGACCCAAATGGAATAGTCCGTTATTTATGAGATATTGGCAAAGCGTAACGATCGTGCGAACTAACAAAGAGAGGTCGAGGCACAATTATCATCGGGTCATTTCACCCCAAGCAAGGCAATAAAGCCACTAATACACAAGCAGTTACTGATTGTGAAAGTATAAAAAAAAAGAAAACATTAGTAAGGAACGGAAAAATTAAAGAACAGGAATTAAGAAGACAAAAGATAACGATTGACATTGCATTTAAATTTTTGAAGATCAAACATGACTGGAAAGCAGGAGGGCAGAAGAGAGTTCCACAAGCAAGAAGTGCGAGAGAAGAAGCTGTTAACATAGAACTTACGGTTGCATCTCGCCATTTCAACTGTAAAATAAATAATGTTACCTTGTTACCAATCTACTTAAATTCATAAGTGTAAGTATCGTAGAGTTTATCAGAACAATTACCATGAAAATATTTATAGAAAAGTCACAGGTAAGCTAAGTTATGGTGGCGGGAAAGTGACTGAAGCCAAGATGCCAGGTTAGGACTGATAACATTGCAGATTCTTATTTCTATTTCATCAAGAATCTCTAAATATATAACAGGTGCACCAGACCAGGCTTGGTTTGGTTTGTTTTACGGCATATCAACACCTCAATGGGTTATTTAATGCCGACAAGATTTTTATTGCTGGTAATATTTTTATAATTTAACATAATATTATTTTTGGTTTTAAGTCAAGTACGGCGCCTTTCTTAAGGATGTTCGTCTTTACATTAAGAAACTAATTCGATCCTTTAGTTGTTTTGTTTTGTTTGATTTGTTTTACAGCATATCAACACCTCAGTGGGTCATTAAATGCCGACAATTTTTATTGCTGGTAATATTTCTTTTTTCAAAAATGTATTGCTGGTAATAATTTTTTACAAAGTCTTTCTGGTATTAAAACCGAATTTTACACTTTCATAGTGTTTTGACTCCTGTTTGGGGGTTAACTATTTACCCATAGCTGGGACCCTAACAGGTGCTACCACCCCGGGTCACAGTGTACCTGGGAACACCAACAATTAAGCGGTTGTTCCACGCTCCTCAAAACATTTTGATCAGAGTCCTTGTTGTTGAACGTAGTTTATCGTCATACCCAGGACGGTTGAAAATTAGGTCTGCAAATGTCGCATGATTCGCAAGTGTAAATAAATATAGTTTTTTATGATATTAATGATATTAATAGATATTTAGAATCAATAGTATATATATATATATATATATATATATATATATATATATATATATATATATAGTTAGATTCCCAGATCAATTCTTTGGACAAGACAGATTGGTATAAAATTTTTTTTAATGTAACTATAAAAAAAACATTTCGATTTAATTTTTGCCTTGAAAAAGTCGGACGACGAAACGCGTGGTAAAATCTAAGATTTTTTTTCAATTGTCATTTTATAACATATATATATATATATATATATATATTATATATATATATATATATATATATATAGTTTTAAAGGACAGCGGATCATCAGACTTTACTTCCAAAAATATATATATATATATATATATATATATATATATATATATATATAGCAAAGAGACTGCGAAACCTTTTCTGGAGGATTTGTTTGTTTTGTTTTACAGCCTATCAACATCAACGAGTTATATAATGCCGACAAGAATTTTATTTCTTGTAATATTATTTTCAAAAAGTATTTGTGGTAATATTTCTTTGTTTAAGAATGTATTGCTGGTAGTTTTTTTTTAGTTTTTTTTAAATGTATTGCTAGTAATATTTTTTCAAAAAAATATTGCTGGTAATAATTGTATTGCTGGTAATAATTTTTTACAAAAATGCATTTCTCGTATTAAAACCTATTTATACACGTTGAGACCCCACTTTGGTGGTGTACTATTTGCTCATAGCTGCGACCCTAACAGGTGCTACCAACCCAGGTCAGGGTGGACCCAGGAACACTGGCAATTAAGAGGTGGTTCTACGCTCTTCAAAACCTCCTGATCAGTGGCTTTGCTGCCGGATGTAGTTTATCGTCTTACCCAGGATGGCACCAGACCAAATGTGGCACAATGCTTGGACGAATGTTAGATTATAAAATATGTATGATAGATTCTGGTTGGAAAAATTTTTTTCATCAGATTTCCAGCTGTCTCAGACTTTTTTGCAAATCAGTTTAAAGTACATCCTTAAATATGGGTACTACCGTCACCTTATTTCAAAACATTTTAAAACAATCTATATTCATCCAGGGTTTCAGTTTCGCTTTGTTTGTTCACAATGACTGGATCCGGTCCCCAGGCCTGGATGGACTGATACGACTGAATTTACAAATTACAAAGAATTTTAATTTTTCTATTTTTCATCATCATCATTACCATCATCAAAAACAACAACAGCCCTCAGCAGTCCCACGACTGGGCGTGGTTGGAGGGTCACTGCGCAGTTAAACACCTGACCAGATCCCTCCATATGTCTCAGTAGGTACTACAATGTCTTCGGAGCCCATCGCTCTCCTTATTAGACCACAGACGATGTCCTCTGACCTGAAGGCTCTCCTTGGCCACGGACTCATGGTCGTTGATTCAATCGGGTAAGAGGACCCTCCGCTCTTGTTGTTAAGGAAGCTCTCCGCCCAGCAATACCATGTCAACACCAGGTACACATAATAATTCACATTGGTCGAAGGATCGCTGCGCAGTTCCCTGCACATGTCTCGGTAGGTAATTATTCATGCGTACGATGTCTTGGGCAAACTATACCTGGAGGTGCTCAGTCCTCTCCAGGTCAGACCACAGCCGATGCCCTCCGACTTGAAGGTTTGTCTTGGTGACGTACACGTGGACGTTGATTCCATCAGGGTGAAACCTCCGTCCTGGTCATTAACTTCCGTTTTGGAAGTCCTCCACTCAGAAATGCCGTGCCACCACCGTCCTGTATATAAGTGTTATTCTAAGTCATCTTAAATCATTTGCCCACATTAACAAAACCGCAGCCGTTTGCACTGTTGGTATTCTTTATGAGTAATCGAATTAAATTTTGATTCTGCAATTATTTTATTCTTCTACCTACGCAAAAAAGCTGAAGG